ATCACATACAAACACACGGACAGACAGACCGACAGACAGACACACAGACACACAGACACACAGACACACAGACACGCAGACGCAGACAGACACAGACAGACACAGACAGACACAGACAGACACAGACAGACGCAGAGACACACAGTGACACACACGGACACAGACAGACACAGACAGACACAGACGGACACAGACAGACACAGACAGACAGACACAGACAGACACAGACAGACACAGACAGACACAGACAGACACACAGACACACAGACACAGACACTGACACTGACACTGACACACACACACACACCCACACGCACGCGCCCGCACGCGCACGCACACGCACACGCAAACGCACACGCCTTCGCCCACGCAAACGCCTACGCCCACGCCCGCGCCCACGCCCGCGCCTGCACATGCACAGGCACACGGACACGCAAGCACGTGGGTGCGTACGCACGCACGCACGCACGCACCGATGCACGCACACCCCGACCGTGTGCCGATTGATCCGAATCCCACAAATCATATCCCCACAACACCACATGCCGTCAGGGGACACTTCCAAATCAGCAAGCCAGTGGGGGCTTGCACGGATACCTGCCCGAAACCCAGTCTACGTAATGCCGCTTCAAGAATTAAAAGAACTGCCGTAATTATCGCTAAAGACTGTAGTCATTCGGGTGACAATGAAAACTTTGTTTCGGCCACATTCCGCAGGAAGCGGCCTAAACAAACAACCGGCAGTGTTTGTTCAAGCACTCTGTACTGTTACCCGAAAATAAACTGTAATACTGTCTCAAGTCATTTAGGCTCCAAATTGACCGCCAACCCTCACGCTAGTGGTGGCAAATTGGGTGGGTCAGTTTTCTCGACCCATCAATCTTTGGCTATGCAATGCTATGCCTACATGTCACATGACACTTACGTAAAGATCAGAACCTGTGCATATGCCGACGTACATGCATGACCGCCCTTGTACCAGTGGTTTAGCATATACACACCTACACACAAACCCCCCCAAGCCCTCTCCATCAACCTATCTACCTGCCAGTTTCTGCAAGGCTGTTTCTGCGAAAAAATTGTGGGTCTGGAGAGAGAGACACAGAGAGAGACAGAGGGAGAGAGAGGGAGAAAGTCAGTGAGCGAGCGAGCGAGTGAGTGAGTGAGTGAGTGAGTGAGACGCACACATGTGCATATGTATATATATATATAACGCAATACAGGCCCGTGTTTTTCGAGTAAAACACGTGTTTTTTAGATGTTTTAAGCTCTATCCAAGATAAATACATATGATATCAAGAAACTGAAATTAGATGGTATTCATTCTTAAGAACGGACAATGAATTTTGAATCGATATTGACCATCCATCAAAAACAGTGCAGGTTTTTCGCCCAACAGCAACATCAAATCGATTTCTGATGGGTATGGACTCACAATATCATGTCATTGCAGTAATCGGGATGTATGCTACGCCACAACCGGACGGTATTGGCACGCAACAACGAACGAATGTCAATGGTTCTGTAGTTACAACAACTTGAATATGGATACGTCACGAACCCCAATAATATTGAATTGATATTGACATGCCCTACCAAACAGGAAATTAGAATGGGCATTGGCAAGAAGACAAGAACTAATTGAAGTTGGATATGTATTCATCAACGACATAGAAAACGGAGTTTGAATCGGTTGTGACCCTCAGCACCAGCTAGTTTTTATGTCGATAAGGATGTGAAAAGAACAACGAACTATACAATAGTGATCCACAAGAATGCTGATCTATATCTAGACGGCGACAAAAGTGAATTTGAATGTGCATCAGCCCCCAGCAGCACATCAGTTAATTGGCCCATAGCCCACAAAACATAAGTTGGATAGCTGACGAACCAAATAAACTTAATCAATTAAAAATGCTGTTGACCCCAACATCAAGACATGAATTCGGATTGGTATTGAGCTCCGATATCACTAAGTACAAACTGGAAAGGTATTGACCCATGATAATGCAACTTGATTTTAGCAAGGTATCGAATGGGTATTGACCCACAACAACAACAAATTGAAATTGAATGGGTATCGGCCCATAACATGAAACTGAATTTTGATACGTATCGAAACGCAACAAAAACAAACTAAATTTGGTTCGGTATTGACCCACAAGAACAACAAACTGAATTTACATGCGTATTGGCCCGCAAAAGCGAACTGAACTCGGATGGTTACCGGCCCAGTCCAACATCAACAACAGCTATAATTCGACTGGCTGTTGACCCGCAGCATTCACATGCTCAAATGATTGATTTTGGATGTATAAGACTGTATTTGGATTGGTATGGACCCGAGAAATTGGTATGCATGAATTCAAGCTGTATGAGTGTGTGTGTGTGTGTGTGTCTGTGCTTGTTTACATACATTTATGTAAATATATGTAAATTACCATCATTGTCTTATACATACAAAGCTTATATTTAAACAGAATCTTAAACTCAGATTCAATATGTATCATGGGCGACCGTTTGGGAAGTCACGAACAAAGATGCTGACATGCAGACTGCCAGACGGATGTTGAAGCATGTGCAAGGTCAGTAGTGCCTTGTGGTTTATAACGTCTTGAGGAGCCAGCCACTCTTTACGCGGTTTGGGGTTTGCCACCCATCATCTCCTCTCGAAGAGGCTTAGGAGTCAATATTTTTTTGGGTTCGGGGATGGTTTGGGCATCATGCAGCCCTATCAAAAGCTATCCGTGGCATCCGCTTATTTCACAAGTTTGGATGTCGCACTCATCATCTCAAATGTGGACTTGAGCCATGATCTGCTTTAGAGGATCTGACTTTCAGGGCTATTGTCTAATTCCATAATTTGGGGTTGCTGCAACCACATCATCTGTAGGATTCAACTGGGTTTTGCCATGCACCATGCTCTTTGACTGCTTCCGGCTTTCCGATTTTGCTGCTTCTCTTTGAAGTGCTGGCATTGGCCGCATTGGCCTTCTAATATTTACTAAAACGCTCAGAAGGTCCCTGATGAGTCTTTGTTGTATCGCAAACCTTTGCGTCTGTGCAAATGAATATTGATACAGATGCATAGCGGTGTCATGCAGAAACACAACATACATATGTCTACATTTGTCATTGATACATGGGTAATGTATGCATATATGGAGTATCTCGTAAGCAATATGCTGTCATGAGTTTCCGTCTAATAATCTTGAAAGTACTGTATAAATGATTATAGATGTAGATGTTTACGCGCATCTTCCTTCATTTCTTTTTATGTTTATCATGGCGGTGTGTTGCAGGGCCAGAACATTGAAGACTAGGCTTAAAGGGCCCTAGGTGACCCCCCAGACCAACCCTCCAGGCAAGGCCATGGTCCGGGGCGGGGGGAAGGCAAACAAAAACAAAAAAACTCGTTTTTATTTTGGCTTCCCCCCGCCCCCGGACCAGACCCAGACCCCCAGACCCTCGGTTTTTTTAGTGGCCAGACCCTCAGTCCCTGTAGCCTAGGGGTCCTCACAACACACAGGAGCTTGCAGAAACATGATTACAAGTACGAGTGATGTCCTGAAACTGCTATGCTACGATGTAATAAGATACGGTTTCTATATTGTAAACAAAAGGCCCCCGTGACGTGGCTTTGTGAAATCCACAACTCGCGACAAGCACCAAATACTGGGGCCTGTAGTGCGTAATTTTCTGTGTATATATATATATATATTATACGCTTTATATATATACACATGTATGTGTAATTTCATGCCCCTTACTGACATTAAAACACTCTGAAAATAAAGAACTATTTTCGGAACCCAAGTGTTTATGTTGGGGAGATTTGGAAAAATCAGGCTTCACATTTCCGTGATTTCAGGGTTCACTTATGCAGTGCTAAGACGTAGCAGGGCAGGGAGGCAAGCACATGCAGGCGCAGCACAGCAGTCAGGCAGGCACAGGCAGGCACAGGCAGGCAGAGGCAGGCAGAGGCAGGCAGAGGCAGGCAAAGGCAGGCAAAGGCAGGCAGAGGCAGGCACAGGCAGGCAGAGGCAGGTAGAGGCAGGCAGAGGCAGGCAAAAGGCAGAGGCAGGCAAAGGCAGGCAAAGGCAGGCAGAGGCAGGCAAAGGCAGGCAAAGGCAGGCAAAGGCAGGCAGTGGGGGGCAGTGGTGTGGATTTGTTTTTGCTGACGATTGAAAAGGTGCAGCATTGGTATTTGCTAGGAAGCAGGGAGTTGCAGCTGGGTGCGGATTGGTGTTTGCTAGGAATTATGGAGGCGCCGCTGGGTGTGGATTGATAGTTGGTGGGGTTCAGGAGGTGCGACTGGGTGTGGACACAGAAGTGAAGCTGGGTTGCCCCTTGACATTGAGCACTGACAGGCAGGAGGACCAGTATAGGGCTGCAACAATGGAGGACTGCGGGGACTGCGGGGCAACTGCAGGCTGCAACAGCCACAGGGGTGCAGGAATGCAGGGGAACTGCGGACTGCAAAAGAACGTACGGCTTCAAGGCCTGTAAGGGACTGCAGGCAGCAGCGGCTGCAACCTGCAGGGTCTCCGGGTTGCAGGCGGAACCGTGCTGTGCCGCCAGTGACGGCCAATGAGGATCTTCGCTTCATGTCGCGAGCAAGTGCTTGTGGAATGGAGCTGCATGGGGAATGTCTGGTTCGGTACCTGTTGTGATATCAGTGTCGTGTTGTCATGTGATATCAGTGCTGTGTGTGTCGGTCGGGCGCTTGTGGCACCAAGGTCTACATGGGAAATGGCTGTTTTGGTGTGTGGTGACGCCAGTGATGATGACTGCCGCGAGACTCACAGCAATTGACATCATCAAAACCAGCCATTCGCCATGCAAGTGCTCGATTCCACGAGGACTCCCTCGAGACACACATTGGTGACAACCAGTGACATCGTGTGACGCAACATCAAACCAACCAATTCCACTGCCTGTAAAGGTTGCAGTAACATAGGACTGCAAGGACTGCAGAGCAACAGGGACGCAGAAATGCAGGGGAACTGCACAGGACCGTACCGCTGCAAGCCCTGCAGGGGATTGCAAGCTGCGCGGTCGTAGAGCTGCAGGGTCTCCGGGTTGCAGGCGGAACTCGAAACCCACCTAATCTCAGACTAGGTGTGTTGGGATGCCTGTGACGGCCAGCGATGATCATTGCTTCACGTCTCCAGCGGGTGCTTGTGGAGTGGAGATACATGGGGAATGTTTGATTTGGTGCAGTGATGATCACTGCCGTAAATACATGTCGAGCAGGTGCTTGTGGAATCGATATCGATCAACAACGCCTTCTCTTTTCTTGGAGCTTACACAACGTCAGAGTCTCGCCGCAAGCGTTTGAGGCATCTGAAGTTTGGCACGTCCACTGTCACACGCCTGCAGTGCACTTCGAGGACGTTCAAGTCGCTGAAGTAATCCGTCAGATACAATTCCGTGGCATAGTGCACTGTGTGATGCGCATCCGTCTGGAATTTGGGAGACACTAATCCTGAGCACGTCGTGATCGACAGTGGCATTCTGCTCCAATCATTGTGGCCATGCCGTGCCATCTTCCAGGTGTCGTTGTCGACGTCGATGTAGCCCGTAGTTTTCCCCGCCCGAACTTGGTGCCCTCGAGAAGTGGTGGTCGGGGCCAAGCACTGAGCGATTGTGCGCGCTGTCAGCTCTTGCTTGCATGGCCTGTAGCAGTCCTGGGTTATGAGATGTTTGGGCAAGGCAGGCCCGTAACTCCAGATGAAACGGTTTGACTCCCAGACCATGCGAAACTTAGTTTGAGTGTTTACTTCAGGGTTCACAGTATACAAGTTTAGGGTTTAGGGTTGAAGGTTCAAGGAAAGCAAGTCCAAACAACAGGGCAACCGTGCAGCGCTGCAAGTGAGTCAAGACGAATGCCAGGCACTGCACTTCACTAATGGCGGTTTTGTCTTTCTCCGCCAGGTTGAGAAACATGGACGCGGAGGCTGCATCAGTGCCTTCCATGATCTTCAAAAAGCCCTCCTCGCCAAGCCGCCCCGCCTGAGCATGAGTGTTAAAGGCCGTCTGAGCCTTCACAGGATGGGGAACTTGAGGAACGCTTCATTCTCTACTTTGTTGTGCTCTCTGTCCCTAAGCATAAATGCTTCCGGAAGCCAGCCACGCAAGTCACCTACTTGAGAAGTTGCTGCAACTTGGCCTTCGTGGTTAAAGAACTTCAGCCCTCTTGTAGTCTCGTAACCCAGCCAGCGCGCACACTCCAGCATAGGTACACTGAGCTCCATGTGCTCACTTCAACGCGCTTCGGCGTTGCAAAAGCATGCACTATGTGCAGGAGCACAGTTGTCTCCATCGCACCGACACATGTGAAACACTACAGTCAACGGATTGCCACATCAGATAAGTTTTTTGCAGCAAGTGTATGACTGCGTACCTGCACATGTAGTTTTAAGTGGCTATTGCCGGGCATCTGCAGTTTTTCTTGGATTAAGGAGGGGCAGAGACTGAACTGCAGGAACATCATGAATGGTCACCCCAACCCCAAAGCATTAATCGGAAGCCTGATTTTAACCTAGCCCACATGCGGCCCTCACCTCTAAACCTTATTGGTTAGGAGAATAGCCATCCTACAACTAGCCTGGCACAAGCCTCAGGGGTTGCTTTGTGTCATTATGTTGACTATATTGAGCCTGGCCTAGATGAAGACAATCCTCACAGCAATGCCAGAGCCGATAAGAACCGGGTCGCATTGAAAACTGAATGCGACCCCGAGTTTTGGGAACATGCTCCCTCACGAGCCCGGAAAGCCACGAAAACGGTAGGTAACTGGGGCGGGGGGGGGTGTGGCCGGCTTAAATGGCTGACACTCGGGCAATTAAGATGGAGAAGGAGCAGGGCTATGGCAGCCCCAAGGCTGCAGCGGCAGCCCAAGTGGCCCTTGAGGAGGGCCAAAAGTGGCATAGCCTTCGTGCACAGGGTCCGGCACCTGACAAGTATGTTGCTGCAGCGCAAAAACGGCGCTTTTCTGTGCCGGTCATCAAAGAGGAGCCAGGTTTGGAGGAGGAGCCTGCAGCTGCGATGCCGGAAAGCGGCGGCCGTGACCCGCAAGCTCCTGGGGAGGAGCCGGCTGCGGCTATGGAGGACAGCTCCGGGGCCCATGATCCATCCGAAGACAATGCTTCTTGGAATGAGCAAGGTTGGGATTCTTGGCATGCACGTGGTCGTTGGAAGAGCTCTGGCCAGTCTTGGAAGACTGCCATGGAAAAATACGAGCACCTGGAAGAGCAAGAAGACCAAAAAGCCATGGCCTACTGGGGCAGCAACCGCCGGCAGCGGGACTGGGTTGATGACGAAAAAGCTGTTGCTCCGAAAAAATCCAAAGGACGCAAGCGCAAGCAGTGGTTGCAGGCGCAAATAGCAACGTTGAAGAACCAGGGCCGATGGGTGGGAGGTGCCCAAGTTCTTTGTCGAAACGGCTGCGATTGATCCGTGAGGCCTGGATAAAAATCATGCTATGGTTGTTG